TTCACCACCCAAGTCCTTTTCTTTACAAAGAATGTGCTGCTGTTGGAGGGACTGAGCAACGTCCCTCCCTCCCAGGAGGAGCTGGTTACTGCAGCCCTCATGGGCTGGGGCCCTTGCCACCCCCCTCCCCTGGCCAGCTGAGATCCCAGGCTGCCCTCACAGGCTCTGGGAAAGCCACTCCACTGAAGGGCAGGGAGCTTCGCATGAGGCAGGACAGTGACACCCCACTCACCTGCCCTGGAGCTGCAGGACTTGGCAAGGCTGCCTGGTGCGAGCAGGGGAGATTCTGCCACCAGGCAGCCAGCAGCGAGCCGCTTTTGGGGGTCTCTGGCCTCAGAGCTAATGGGGCACTGTAGGGTTGGGGGAGGGATGGCTGCACCGGGGAGTGGGATGGGGAAAGGGATGAGGACCCCAGCCTGCAGTCTTCAGACAGCTGGAAAAGGCTGCAACAGACCAGCCTTCTGGGTGGCTTTCCTCTCTGGCAGACATGGAGCAAGGGCTGCAGACAGTCCCCGGATGAACCGAGGAGCCTGAGCAGGGTGACCTGGGCCCATGGGGGGATGAAAGGCCAAAGGGAGGCCTTGTGCGGGGCGGTGCCTTCCTGTTGGGGACCAGGGTAGGAGGTGCAGTGAGAGGGTCTTGGGGTGCCAGACAGGCCAGGCGAGGCGAGGCAGAGCGGAGGAAGCAGGCAGAGCAGCAGGATGCCTCTGGGGAGGCTGAGGGAGGCATGAGACTCCTGGTGGCTCAGCCTCTCCAGGCCCCAAGCCTCTGAGCACCAGAGCGCCCCCACGTGGCCTGTGGCCGCTGAGCTGAGCTGGAGGACTCGCCACCCCTCAGCGCCACTAGGCACAGGGGCCCTTTGCCATTTGCACCTCCACCCTCCAGAAGGCACCTCCTGGGGAACAGCTACTGCCCACTGAGCCTCAGTTTCCCTCACTGCAGACGGTGTTCCTCTGACGCCCGGAGCGTTGTTCGCTACCTTGTCTCTTGCTCTACCTCACTCCTCACCATCCTGAGGTGCTAGCTGACTTTCTGAAGTAGGCGCTGGCAGGGCCGCTCTATCAATCAGACGCTGCCCCGGGCTTGTCCATTCTGTCTGCCTTCTGGAGACAACAGAACAGCTCCTGGTGGGACCACCTCACTTCCTGCAATCCCTCCTCCTCTGGGCTCCCACTGGCGAGGGTCTATACAGCCTCCCAGGGCTCCCCTGGGTCTCCAGGCCCAGCCCTGCACCCCCAGGGTACAGCCCCAGCCTGGCTCAGAGCAGTCCTGGCTGCATTGTGGGCACCACCTGCCCAGTCCCGCGCTGTCACAGACGAAGGGCTGAGAGCAGACCATAGCTGGCAGCTGGACTGGGGAGCAGGGGAGGGAGGCGAGGGCAAGGAGAGGATTCCTGCTGGTCAGACACAGTGCCACATGGCTGGGACTTTTTCTCTCTTCCTTCCATCCTTTCTTTCTTTTTTTTTTGGCACCGGGGATCGAACTTGGGACCTTGCACTTGCGAGGCAGGCAGCAGCACCACTGAGCTACATCCCCGGCCCCCTTCCATCCTTTCTTTTCTTCCTTCCTTTCTACTTTTTTTCTTCTTTTTTGATACTTGAGATTGAACCCAGGGAGTGCTGAGCGACATCCCCATCCCTTTTTAAAATTTTCAAAATTTTGACACAGGCTCTTGCCAAGTTGCCCGGGCTGGCCTGGAACTTGCAACCCTTCTGCCTCAGTCTCCCCAGCAGCTAGGGTTGCAGGCATGGTCCACCACTCTCAACTACGCAGCCAAACCTCGAAGTATCAGAAAGAAGCCTGCCAGGCCCACTGGGATTGAGGTGTAACCCTGAGCAAGCGCCTTAGAGGCCGATGAGGGGCGATCATGCATGCTCTGGTGCCCTCGTGTGGATATATGTGGTAAGTACACACAAGCTGGCAATGGGGCTTCACCCCTTTCCACCCTTTGCCTTTAGTCCCCACACCTCCTTCCAGGTAAACAAGACCTTCAAAACCGCAGGCACGCTGGAGCTGACAACACGTCAGCTGTGTGTATCATGAGAATCGCCTCTCAACACCAGGAAGGAGAGGACTCACACCTAATTATATCACTCTTGTTTGAGCCCGGGCAAATAGTATTTGCTCATTGAAATTTGACTCATTCATACTAGAAGCAAAAATAGCTCCCCAAGTCGTCTGGACATCTGATTGTCCTGAGTACCACTCAGGATCCATGTCTGGGTTCAGACATGTCTAATTCACCCACCAACCAAATGTCAGCAACCTTTTCAGGGACAGCTTGAACCAGGAACTGTGAAGATGAGGGAATCAGCCCTGCGTCACTCACTCCTTCACTCAGGATCACGAAGCACCTCCCTGTCCAAGCCAGGACCCAGTAGAGCTGGAGCAGCCATGTACTCTGCTAAGAGCTTGGCTGTGAAATCACAAAGAGCCAGGGCCACCCGGAGCCAGGCTCTCTGCAAGCTTGGAGACACTGTCTGGCTCTCCCTGTTATTTGCTAAAACAGGTAAGAGTGCTGTCCCTCCCCGTAAAGGTACTGTGAGGCTAAATGAGGTGACGCAGTGAAGCCCTTAGCTCTGAGAGGGTGACAGCTGGTGTACAGCATGGCCACCGAGCCTGGGACACACGCGAGCACACAAGACACAGCCACCGGCGTCCATCCCAAGACAACAGAACAGTACTGGCTATGTCGCCAGACTTCATGGCCACCTCAGGCCCCACCTGCCTGGGTCCAGTTTTCACCACACTAGGGGTTCTGGATGTGTGGTCTCCGACCAGTGCTCAGTGTCACCTAGAAACTTGTCAGAAGTGCAGAGTCAACTCTGAGTCAGAAACTCGAGGGCAAGGGCCAGCAATCTGTCTCAACAAACCCTCGGGTGACTGTGATGTGCTCAGGGCGGGGAGCAGTGACTGGGGAAAAACAACACAATCGTAAACAACCATGCTGGGCGTGGCTGCCCTGAGGAGGGGACCCCAGACGGGGTCTGGAAGGAAGAACAGGGCTCGCAGGGGACATGACAGGAGCCCTGTCAGCGGAGGGAGCGGATCCCTGGAGGGCTTGGGTGCGCTGAGGGACACAGGGCCAAGCTGAGCAGGAGGGGAGGTCAGGGCTGGGCCCCGAACCCCTTTGAGTGCCTGCGTGGAGAACTTCGATTTTGTCCTTAAGCGAGGGGAGACGTGGGAGGGTTTTAATGGAGAGTGACAGTGATATGAGTGAATTGGTGCTGTAGACAAGGGCACTCCCTCTGGCAGCAGTGTGGCTGCAGGGAAGACAAGGCGGAAGCTGCCGGCATGGTGGCGGGCTGTCAGGAAGCTCAGGGAGAGAGAAGTGGTGGCTATGCAGGAGGAGTGAAGGACTAGTCCGGGCAGTGCAGGGCAGGGAAGGAGAGGTCTCCGAGAGCTGCTGCTGTCCATGCACACAGACAGGGGAGCTTAGGAGAAAGCTCTGGGCTGCGGCTGAAGCAGGCATGCATTTTGCTTCTGGCCTTTACCTCCCAGTGTCTTTCATTCACTCACTCATTTCAGCAAATATTGACTTTCTGTCATGCACTAGAAAGTTCCGGGGGTATGGGGAACAAATGGCACAGCCAGAATCTGCTCTCAAGGATTACGAGCTAGTGGAGAACACCAGCCAGAAAAAGTAAATAAATAGACTTTTAAAACGTTCAGGTAGTGGTAGGTTTGGGGAAAAACACGACTGAAGGAGGGGTGGGAACTTTAGCAGTCAGCAAAGGCACTGCCAAGGAGATGACACTTGAGCCAATCCACGAGGGAGCCGCATGGGTGGGAACAGAAGAGAGGTGCTCCAGGCACAGGGAGAAGTGTGTGTCAAGGTCCTGAGGTGGGAATGAGTCTGACTCGATGGAGGGACAGGAAGCTGAGAGGCGGCATAGCTGGCCAGGTACAGAGAGGAGGTTGGGAACTGTTCCATCTTAGGTGGGGAGCTTTTAAGGAGAGGTGAGAGGAGTAACACTGAAAGTGCGTCCTGCACAATCTCGCTGTATATTGAGGAATACTGAGATGATCTATGTCAGAAGGAGAAAAGAAGACAGTTCTTAACCGAAGCGAGAAGGATTTGGGTTCAAGTCAGGGAAAGCTCAAAGCGTAAGCGCCATGTACCGCAGAACAAGTTCCAAAACAGATCATTTACAGAAAGGCTTCCACTTTTGTTCCGAGTAAATGATTAACAACCAAGCTGGTGTACTCATGGGTCTTGAGATAGGGATGAAAAGGGGCCCTGTCTCTTTCCTGAGGGGTGAGGATCTCAGAGAGGAGCAGGAGGGAATGGGAAAGAGACAGGGCCCTCCCTCCCTGGGCCCTGTGACCCCTCTGGCAGTGCCAGTGATCCAGCCAGCGGGCAGTGGTGCTGTCATCTCTGTGAATCGAGGACCAGACCAGGTGGGGAAGCCCAGGCCTGGGCACACAGAGCCTCTCCCGCAGGGAGGAAGCCAGGACTCCACCCAGCTGGGAGTGGGAGACAAAGGCCTAGGCCAAGGGAAATGAGCCCAGAGGCCTGTGCCGCCTGCATCCACCCTGAAGTCCAGGATGGCTTCCTGGGCACATCCACACTGCCAAGGGCCAGGCTGCCCAGCCCACACACCTCCAGCGGAAGTGGCAGGTGTCCCCATCCAGGACAGCGAGAGCGCCGGCCTGGCTTAGTTCTGTCATGATGCCCACCACACCTGCCCTTCCCACAGCTGCGTGTCCTGCGAGCTGCTCCATCTCCAAACTCCAGCAAGTCCTTGTGCCCAGAGTCCTTCCCAGTTGCACACAGCACTCCCACCCCACCCAGAAGCCTCTGAGATGAACACGGGCCTCCCCCAGGCCAACACACACACACACACTCTCTCTCTCTCTCTCTGCCTCCATCTGCTGGGCCCCCAGGCAGGGACAAAGCAGACCTTTAAACCGCCTCCCCTCCCCAGGAGGACTGGTGACCGGGATGCAAGCAGCATCAGCAGGAAGGGGATGAGAAAGAAAACTCTCGTCTTACTCACCTGATGAAGTACACAGCTCCTTCGGGGGTGGAATCTGTCTCCCAGCCCTTGGGCAAATCTGCGAGGAGGCAAGAGCAGCACAGGGCGGGTGAGCTGGGCCACACCTGACCTGCCCTCGGGAGGGACAGGGCTGAGCCTGGGCCTGAGAGTCCACAGCGCTCTCGGGCCAGCCCCAGCCCCAGATTCCTGGGGACAGTGACCGAGATGGGGGCCATCACGAGGCCACCGAAGGAGCCGCTGCCTGAAGGGACTGCTGACTCACTCGGCAAACCTCTCTGAGCACCTGCGCTGGGCCAGGCCCCCAGACAGAGCAGTGAGAGCAGAAGCTGTCCTGGAAGTGTCCTCGGGTCACCCGAGCAGCCCCTCCAGCCACAGAAGCGAAAGCCAGACTCAGTCCTTAGCACTGAAATCCAGCTAGGATTCAAGGGTCTCAGCCCCGGGCCAGTGCTCTGAGTGCCAGATTCTGCTGCTTCCCAACTCGAGGCCGAGGACCTGGGAAACCCGTCCCAGAAAATGAGGAGACTTGGGATTTGTTTTTATTTTTGTTTTTGTTTTTTGCTGTCCTGGGGATTAAACCCAGGGCCTTTGCACTGAGCTCCATCATCAGTGCTTTTTGGTTTATTTTTTATTTCTGAAACAGGGTCCGCTAAGTCGGGATCATTCCTGGAGGGTGTGGGAGCCGCCTTGCTGACGTATTGGAAAACAGGCGGGGATTCTCTGGACCATCACTGCAACCTTTCTCCAAACAGCTGCCCTGGGTGCGGGGTTCTCTGAGGTACAGCCACTCTCCGCCGGCCTGAATGTCTCCGGCCAACTTCCCTGCTGCTTGGGGCGCACACTGCACAGAACCCAGCCCAGGAGCACAGGGCGGAAAGCCCAGTTCCGACTCATCCGCTCTGTGCACTTGTGCTGATCAGAGGTCTCTACCTCCAGAGCTGCTGCTGGCAGTGCTGCTGCTTCTTCAGTGAATCCGAGCGAATGGCAGTGAGCCCCACTTCCAGCCCAGGATGCAGCCCGGAGAGCTAACAACGCTTGTCAACCAGGTGAAGCGCTCCCATCCTCCAGCTAAGCCCTGAACGCCACTCCACTAGCACATCTAATCTGCCTGGCAACATGGCACAGGGGTGTCGCCCAAACGTGTTCACAGACGAGGAGACTGAGGCCCGGGCGCATTCATCACCTTGCTTAGGGACACACAGGGTTGGGTATGAGCGCTGATCTGCTGCCTCCCACGCCCACACTCTTTCCTCTGTGCTGCTCCATAAATGCTACTTGTTCCCCTCTGTCCCTGCCGGGGGACGTCCCATTCAGAAGGGCGTGGGTTGGCAGTCTACCCAAGCAGAGGGATCCCCTTTGGGTCAGAATCATAAATAATCCTGCCACTGTGATGCGTCTGGGAAGGCAGCCAGTGTGGATTGTCCCCTGTCTTTTTCTAGCAACTTCGCCGCACACTGCCCTCTCTGCCTGGGCAACACCGAGGGTGCTTATATTCCTGTCCAGGCGGAGTGCCCACCGAGGCAGCTGCCTTCCCGGCAAGCTTAGAGGGTGCCTTAACCCCTTCCCAGCCTTGGGCGACCAGCTGGCTGCAGCCCCAAAGGAAAGAGCTGGCTTCCAAGCTCTTACACATCTTCCAATCCTCTCTAGGGTGGCGATGGACCCAACTGTGGACAGCCAAGACCCTGCAGCAGCAGCAACACCTGTGGCTGAAAGAAAACAACCTTGGCCCTGGAGGGAAGAGGCCTCCTTCAAGCTGGAAACACGTCAGCGACAGTCCAGCGGCTGCTATCTCCCTTTGTGGTGCCAGGGGTGACTCTTACGACCACCTTGTCCCATCGCATAGATGAAGAAGCTGTCTCAGGGGACTCAAGCCACCTGCCCAGGACCACACTGATGGCAAGTAAAGTCCAGACCAGAGCTTCTGCACTTTGCAATGACACTGCTTTGCATATTAGCCAAATGGCCTGGAGCCAGAGACTTCCTCTCTGTTCTTCAATTTTCCTGCCTGACACAATGACTGCAGCCCAGCATCGAACAGAAGCAGGCTCTGGGCAAATCCAGATCCTACCCAGTGTGTCCAGCAGTGCTGGCTGTGCCCCACGAGTGATCGAGGGAGGCTCCCAGAGCCGGATGCCTAGTGTCCGCCCAGAGGAAGGCTGGATGGGCAGAGATTCTCCCATGATGCTCCTCTCTCACCCCCTCTTCCCACTGACCTCCAGTGGTGTCCCAAGGAGGGAGGCCTGAGCGTCTATTACAGTCCCTGGCCTTGGTTCCTGGTATCCCCACCCTTGCAATGCAGATTGAAACCTTTTTCTTTGGCTTTGTTTTTGTTTTGTTTTTTGTTTTTGCAGTACTGAGTGCTGAGATTATAAATGTGCACCACCGCACCAAGCTACTTTGGCTGTTTCTGACTTGTTGTTCACTAGATGTGTCCCACCTTTCCCACTAGCCTGGGAAGTCCCCAAGGGCAAGGAAGTAACTACTGCTAGCCTTTGCATCTTCTCTTTCCTCTTTCTCCCCCTGTGAAGGAGTTCCTACTAGCCACAAGGGGCTATTTACTTTTTTCTTTTTCTTTTTCTCTTTTTGGTGGTGGTGGTGGTGGGGATGGAATCTAGAACCTTCACACTGAGCTATATCCCCAGCCCTTCTTTATTTTTTTAATTGCAAGACAGGGCCTCTTTAAGTCACTTTGTCCAGGCTGGGCATGAAGTTACAATCCTCCTGCCTCAGCCTCCGGAGTGTTAAGATCAGAGGTGTGCGCCACCAGACCTGGCTCTCAAAGAACAAACATTTTTCGATTTCAGGTCCTCAGTAGCACTAACCACATTTCCACAGGGCCAGTGGCAGCTGTACTGGGAACACAGATGGACACACTGCCAACCTGGCACACAGCACTTGGGGCTGGGGGTTGCCATTTCAGGAGCCTCAGACTAGAGGGCACTTTCCAACCGGACAGAGGGAAGAGAGAGGAGTAAGATCTCTGTCCTCCAAGGTCTGTCCCAGATGCCAGTGGTACACGTGGAAGCATGGAGAGATGCAGAGGTTCCTCCAGAGGCGAGGCTGATCCAGCCTTGAGACCCCACTACCATCCCCAGCTCCTGCATCCTCCTGGATTGTGCAGGCAGGCAGACGGCTCCTCACCTGGGCTGCAGGAGTGTCCGCTCTGGATGGCCAGCTCCGTACCAGGGTGCACCCAGCTGGTTGACTTTTCCTCGTCACTACGAAGGACCAAGAAGAAGCTCAGGATCAGGAGGGGTCCCTGAGCCTTGGGACACCCACCTCCAAGTGCACATCACCAACTCCCTGCTGTCAGGGCCCTGAAATGGGAGCCCCACACTGCTGTCCACTCATTCACATTCACCCAGGATCTTAGGGAGCAGCCTCTGAGGGTTCAGAGGTAAACAGTGCCTGATCCCCAGCCCCAAAGAGCTCGTGAGCCACCCCCACCCCAGGAAACAGCATAAAAAGATCAGGTGCACCAGGACCCCTAGCAAGGCAAGGGATAGGTGACACGGGGACAGAGAAAGCTGCTCCTGGGGAGGAGGTGAGCCAGAGGAGTAGAAGGCGTCCCTGAGGAGGCCAGGTGAGGGGGCAGGGGTCCCCAGCCGGCAGCTCCTGTGAAGGAGGGCAGAGGAGAGAGTGGCTGGGTGTCTACGAGGCTGCAGCACCTCTCACACTAGCAACCGTACAGATCAGGAATCTGAGTTCAAGATCTGCACAGCTAGCAGATGATAAGCCTAGCCCCGCCCCCACCAGCCCCAGGCTCCTCCTAACAAGAGGGGCTCCCCAGCAGTGGACCCTGGGGCTCTCTGTCTGAGGACACAGGAGCTCACTGCTATTTCTCAGCCCCATCCCCCAGCTGAGATTCTCCCAGAGCCAGATGTGACCCAGCATGCAGCACCTGACCGACTTGGCCAGCTGAGGCATGTGGAGGAGACTCCCAGGTCCTCCCTCGGTCAGCAAGGCCTGAGGGCGACCTGGGGCCAGGACAAGACTCCATGCAGTGTCTTTGACATACAATAAACTCCTAAGAAAGGCTCCACTAAATTTTTATGGAAGTAAGCTGCATACACAATGTACAATTGAGTAAGCTTTGACATACATGTATGAGATTATCAACAAAATCAACATAATGGGGGCTGGGGATTTAGCTCAGTGGCACTGCACCTGCCTCGCAAGAGCAAGGTCCTGAGTTTGATCCCCAGTACCAGAAAAAAAATCCACATAATGAACTCACAAGAGTTTCTTCATGCCCCTTTGAAATTCCTCTCTCCCACCTTCCCCAGCAACATTGATCTGCTTTCTCTTACTATAGCTTAGTTTGTGTTTCCTAGAGCTTCAAGAATTGTGTATAAATGGAACTAGGCAAGCTAGACCCCTTCCTTCCTTCCTTCCTTCCTCCTTCCCTCCCTTTCTCCTTCTCCACTCCTTCCTCCATGCCGTAGCGTGTGTCAGTACTTCATTAGCAGCAGTTAGTAGTGTCTACTGGAGTATTTACCAGTGTGTTCACCCATTCACCTGTCAATGGATGTCTGGCTTGTTTGCAATTTCGGGCCATTACAAATAACACTGCTACGAACATTCGCATACCCCGTGTGGACACTCTTTTTTTCTCTTGACTGCACTAATTTTTCTCTGGGGCTGACACTGGCTGAAGGAAGAGATTTCCCAGCTGACCCAGCCTCTGGGAGCAGAGAAGAGACCACATGTCAGTTCTAGTCACTCGCATGCCCTGGAGCCGCTGGTGGCCATGAGGAAACCTCTAACTCACTTGAGCCTCCACTCCGCAGGCATCCAGCCTTACAGCTCAGACCTGGGAGGCTGTGGAGAGGGAGCAAGGAAGGGGCAGGAGGTAGGGAAATTCAGCCGCTGTCCTCAGCCCCCACAGCTCCTCTTGGGCCGCCGATGCTGCCAGCCCCTGACCCTCCTTTCGAGCTGTTGGCTCCCTCAGACTTCCTGTCCAGCCCCCCCCCCCCCGGCCTGGAGAGCAAGGACAACCCCATCACACCCTGGGCTTCCCACCACAACCACCACTTCCTCTTCTTGTCCACAGCCTGCCCCTGTGGGCGCTGGCCAGGCTGGGTCCTTCCCAAGTCTTATGCCATCCTGTCTCAGCTTCCCACGCAGGAAGGCCAGCACGCCGGCCTCTCCTCTCTGTTACAGAACCTCACCCTGCTGAGCGTCCCAGACTTGCATCGCGAACTTCTCTCCCCGCCGGTTCTCTGCTTTCCCCACTGCTCCCATCCACATCTGCCACCGCTGGGCACCCTGCCTCTCTCAACGCCCCTCCCCTGCAGCTGCCCCTGTTTCCTGCCTCCGGGTCACCAGTCTACTGCAGTCTGGATTCAGGCCCCAGGTTCCCCTGAGACCACTTGCCATTAAAGACACCGCCCGCAAAGCACCCCCAGGTCCAGCAGATGCTTCCTGCTCTTTGGGCCCTGTGGCTTCTGCTGCGGTGCCATCCATCCGACCTGGCCCTCTTCCACACCTTCCGGGATGGCACTTCACCCAGCCCCGGCACTGAGAGCTCCGTGAGCCTAGGTCTCACGCGCACCCGGCCTTCCTTCCTCTCCTTTCCTGCGTTCTGGTGCTGCCCGGCTCGGCTGGTCCCGTCCCTCCTGTGCTCTGGGGCCCCGCCTCCGCGCGGTGTCCCCAGGACTCTCCAGGCCTGCACCTGTCTACCCAGCTGTCTGTTAGGCATCAGCCCTGCCCATCCCGGTGACCTCACACTCAGTGTGCCCGCTGAACCTGGACGGCCCAGACTCCCCAGAGCAGGCTTTGCTCACCTGCACACTCACCTCAGCTGCACACTCAGGTGAGAAAGGCTGAGATTTACCTCTGCCCTCCCCAAGCTTCAGGCAGCAGGTGGACACGTGCGACCCCATTCCCTACGCTTTCTCCCTTCTCTCCCTCTTCTCCCTGCTTTAATTCCGACGCCATCAGCTGTCTCCAGGCTTTCAACTTCCACAAGCACTTCCTACACTTTCTGTTCCTCAATTTCTCCCCCTGCCTCCTACCTAGCTCCCAAATCATCGCCCTGCCGCTGCCAGAGGGCGGTTGGGAACGCATATCTGGGTCAAGCCCTCCTTTAAAGTCTGCCGTGGCTCCCAGCCTATCGCCTGTGGGAGCGAATCCAAACCCCTCGGCCTCACACAAGCCGCCCCATCCTCCTTCTCAGCCCAGTCACCCGCAGCACCCTGGCCTCCTCCCCTCACCTCTGCGCAGCCTGCTGGAGGCCGGGGGCCCTATGCCCCCCCCCGACTGCTGCCCTCTCTCCACTAGCCTGGCTGCCATGTCCCCTCCACTGCGCTCGCTCTGAGGGCACCAGCCCGACAGGCTGAGGGCTTCCTCCCCAAGGTCCCCGGGCCCCCCACCCAAGCATTAGTTCTCTCTTCCTCCGTTCCTATAGCACCGCCACTTCCGGGAAGATTGTGTAGGAAGTGCCTGTGCTTTCTCCCTGCCACCCGAAAGGAAGACCTGAGGCTTACAGCTTTCTGTCTCCAGCGTCTAGCGCTGCAGCAGGGAGTGACTGCTCAATGCATTTGTGGAATGAAAGAAACTGGAGGCAAAAAGGAGCCTGAGAAGGGAGAGGACCAGATTAATCACTTCCCGGGGTACCTGAGGGGCTTGTGGGAGTTCAGACTCAGGCCTCATCCCAGATCTTGTGAATAGGAATCTCCAGAGGCAGAACTCAGGAATCAGCCTTTTTAGTAAATTCCTCGGCTGATTATTTTTTTCTTTGAGATGAGGTCTTACAATGTTGTCCAGGTTGACTTCAAACTCCTGGGCTCATGTGATCCTCCTGCCTCAGCCTCCCAGGTAGCTGGGACTATGTGTGCACACTCCTGGGCCTGCTCTGGATGATTCCTATGGACTCTAAAGTCTCAAGCCACTGAGGAAGGGGACCCCACTTTTAATCCTGGAGAAGTTCTGCTACTCAAGAGCCCGTGACCCAGGGCCAAAAACTGCAGCGGAGTTAATTTCTAAGGTTATTACAACAACAAAAAGGTAATGACAACACCAATTATGACGATGGTGGTGATAATTACAGAAAGCCTTGAGCAAGCTTGGGAACCATTGCCTGCCGCTGGTGCAGACCCCCTGGAAGCAGGGACAGGGGCTGGAGAGTCCACACACACCAGGCTTTGCTCCAGCTCCGTGGGACAAGTGGCCTCATCCTAGACAAGCGCGTCCGCCCCTCTGCACCTCGGCTTCCCTCGGGACAGCACAGGGTGGCTCCTGGGTCCCCGCCAGCTTCCATATTCTGTGAGTGGCCTCTTGAGGCAGAGAAAGCCTGTCCCGGGCGGTCACAGTCCAGAATGCTGCGCCTCTAGCCTTGCTACATCATGGGAAGGTTTCTGTCCTGGCGACCACACCTACGGGAGAAGCCAAAGAGGGCCGCGCAGGGCTACTTTCTATAATGAGATTAGGCCACGGCCGTCCGAGTTTATGAAATTAATAGAACAGCACCAATAAATTACGGAGAGCAGCAAGGGCTGGCTCCCTCTCCCTAAAGAATGCCACGCACGCCTCGCCTCCAGCTTCTCCCCCTCCTGACCAAGGACCCAGGAAGCAGCAGGAGGCCTGGAGCCGCAGGGGCATCGTGACCGGCGCTGTGGGTGGAGGGCCGAGCCTGGGCCCCTCAGCGCCGGGAGCAGAGGACGCCAGGCTGGACGCCGGTCGCCTTCCTGTGCCCCTGGGGCCTCCTCTGCCGCCCGTCCGGTAAGAGGGGAGCTGGCACCGCCCTGCCCTGCCCTGCCCTGCCCTGCCCGGAGCACTGAGCCCTGGCTGGACCTTCCGCCCCACTGCGAAAGGCGGGAGACCATTCAAACAGGCAAGGCGATAAACTTCTCAGCCAGGCGGAGTCCAGCGCCCCTCCTTCCTCCGCCCCACAGCGCCCCGGCTCCGCCGCCTTCCCAGCGGCACAGCTTTGAAGGAGAAACCCGGGCTGGGGGAAGCAGAGGAAGAGGGGCCACTCACTTGATGAAGAAGACCCTCCCGCCGCCGTCCACCCCGTAGGTCCACCGGCCCGGCAGGTCCAGCCAGTCGATCTCCTCGGCCATCTCCGCGCCCCGGGCGCCGGGCTGGCAGCGGCTCCGAGGCTCGCGCGCCCTCCGGGCCCGGCGGTGACCGTGGCCTCCGCGGAAGCGAGTTGGCCCAGTCGGCGGCCCGGCGAGCGCCGCGCAGACACCGCCGCCCTCCGGAGCGCTCCGGGCCGCTCCCGAACTTTAATGACCGGCAATTAGCGCGGGGCGTAATTACGCGGGGCGCTCGGCCGCCGCGTCCGTCGGAGCCGGGCGCCCCAGGAGCGCAAGTCGCCGCCGCCTCTCGGATCCCACACTGGCGGGCGGCGGGGCGGGGCAGGGCCGCGCCCGGGAAGGTAACCGGGGCCGGGAGCCCGCGAGAGCCTGAGTCACGGCCGAGGGGCACGGCCGGCCTCCCGGGGACAGGGCAGCGGCGCCCGAGCGGTACAAAGGTCAGGCGCTCGCTCCGGAGGGAGGCAGGGAGGCCTGACTGCCAGCAGCTTCCCGCTGAGACGCCCAGCTCGCTAGTTAGGCCGGTCCTCGCCTCTCCTTCCGAGCACCTCCTCCAGGAAGCCCGCCGTGACTCCCTAGAGTCAGGGAAGCCCTAGGGACAATTCGGAAACCAGCGCTACGTCTCTCCATCCTGTCCCCCTAACACACCAGCAGTGGAGAGGTAAGGGGAAGGGGCAGGAATATGCTCTGCGCTCAGAACGCAGGCCGCAACCATGCCGGAAAGAGGTATTGGCTGGAGCCCACGGTTCTGCTATCTCAGAGTCTAAATCAGAGCAGCTGGGGACCGTCCAGCTTTGCCAGCCTACTCAGGACGTGCTCCCGGCCTCCAAAGAGGTGCTCACTGTTCCAATCTGTGTGCCAAGCTCGAAGGAATAATTAGACTGTGGAGGAGAGGCCTCTCTTTAAAGGAAGTGACGTGTTACCTGGCAGCCGCTGAGCGCCTGTTGAACGAGAGGTCTTTCTGTGAGCTTCTTGGGGATTTGCCCCCTAACACCTAGGTGTCTCCGCCCTGTGCCGCCTCCTCCAGGAAGCTCTTCTTGGCGCCACCCCGGATTTATATGCCCATCTTCACGAACAGTGATTCATGTGCTCATCTGTCTCTTTCCCTGGGCTGCATGATCCTCCAGGCAAGGCTGCACCTCACTCACCTCTACAGCTCCAAACCTGCCTGGGCATCCAATTGATGCCGATGACTGCCTGCTGGGGTCCTAACCCGGAACTGCTTTTAATGCCAAACAGAGTCCTGCACTTTTGGACCTTGTTCAGAGGTGTGATGACCAGTGTCAGCCGCAGTGGTGGGGAAGGGCTTTCTGGAGAAGGAAACAGCCCAGAAGGTTTCCTGGGAAGGGGTCCCTGATGCTAACCTGGAGAGTCGATGTCTGTGCAGCTGATAGACGGAGAGCCTGGAAGACCCTCAGAGGGTATCTAGTCTGGGCCTCTCATTTTAAATATGGAAACTGAGGGGTGGAGAAGGGGGTGAACCGGTCAAGGTCACTGAGCAAGGTGGTGGCCAGCAAGGATCTGCCCACGAGTGTCTCAAGCGGGCTCGTTCCATTGTATCCTTCTGCCTCCAACATTAGAAATGAACTGTGCCGATGCCTTCAGGCTGATTCCTGGCTGCCAGGAGTAAGCTGACTCCATTCCCCACATGCAGAAGAGAAGCTGAAGCCCAGAATACCCCCGCTGCATCCTCCCTGCTCAGCTCCCACAAACTCCACATAGAGAAAGCGGCATTGGATGGTAAGTTGAGCCACACTCGAGTGTACAGATGAGGGTCCAGTGCCCCTTAGTTCCTCTCTCTCTCTCTCTGTCTCTCTCTCACACCAGGAATCGAACTTGGGAGCTTTCGAGGCAGGCAGTGGAACCTCTGAGCTAAGTCCCCGGCCCTTAGTTCCTGAATTGGGGGAGTTCAGAGGGTCAGGGGAGCAGACTCCTTGGCCCCGAAGCCCCCAGCTTGTTAACCAGCTACAAGAGTCATCCGGCTGATAAAGCATGGCCACCTGCCCAGCCCTGTGCTATCCAAGGATCGAAACCAGCACAGCTGCTGCCAAGAGGCCTGCACAGAAAATACCAGCAGCCAGTGCTTCCCACCCCAACCTGAACAACCAGTATGGGCAGCTGCTGGGGCTGCATGTGGGTGGAAACCAGGCGGAACGATGCGTATCCGGAAACATGTGTGGCCCTGTGTCTCCTCCGGGAGAGGGGGCTCCTGGGGGTTCCCTCACAGGGTGCTGGCTTGTTACTCTATCTGCACTGGGTTCCTAGGAGCATTCACCTAGACAAGGAAGGACCAGGGGTTGATATTTGGGGGGGGGGGTTTATTCATTTGGAATAAGAAATCAGGCTTGAAAATCTTTTTCTAATCATGGTGTATTATCACTAGTGACTTTTTACATCCTAATTCTTGTTTATCGATCATGATTAACAGTGATATGGCTAGCAATGACATTTTAGCAAAAGAACTGCAGATATGCAGAAAAAGAATTTTAGAAAAACAATAAAAATAGCTCTTGGTTCAGCAATTGCCTGAATCAGGAGGGAGGGCTGATATGTCAAAATGAAAACCCTATAGGTTTGGCAAGAATTGAGTCAAAAATTGAGTTGTTTGTTTTTGCCCTGGAGCAAATTTTATTTTACCTCTTTAAAAGGCAATAAAACTTGTGGATAAACTATTATCAATACTAGTAAGAAATTCTGCCAGGCTTGGTGGTGCACACCTGTAATCCCAGCGCTTGGGAAGCTGAGGCAGGAATTCACCATGAGTTCCAGGCCAGCTGGGCTGCATAGTGAATTCAAAGCCAGCCTGAAAACAACAACATCATCATCATCATCATCATCATCATATTTAGTAATTCAGGTTCTCATATTTGAGCTCTCAGATTTGTCACTTCAACAGTATAATGTTATTTGTTTGGTTTCTGTGATTAGACCAAGAAGTGACCCTCCGGGTCAAATCCCTAACACTTATAACTGCTATCTAATTCAGTCTTTGCGGACATAATTAGGTAAAGGATGTTTTTTTCGCACTGGGGATAGAACCCTACCAGTTAGCTACACCCCATCCTGTCCATTTTTCTCTTTGATTTGAGGCTGGCAGGTGTCATTTGGTGCTGCTAGGAGTCTCACTTGGGGAGAACTGGTCTGAAAGTGAAAACAGAAGAAATGCAGCCAGAAGGTGAAGGGAGGGCTGGGGATTTAGCTCAGTAGTTCTGCAATCTGCCTTGAAAGTACAAGGTCCTGAGTTTGATCCCCGGTACCAAAAAAAAAAAGAAGAAGAAGGCGAAGGGAGGCTGGATCCTCCTTGTACCCCATCACCCTGAAGGCTCGCTGGCCAGCAGAGGCTCAGCCCCTGAAGTTTCCAGGTATGGTTGCCAATAAATAAACACTCTTATTTGCTTTTGTCAGTTTGAGGCGAGTTTGTGCCCCTAACAACTGAAAATGTCCTGATCAATATAAAGGTCACACATGGGCACAAAACACACACCTGTTTCTTTTGTGTACTAGGAAAGCCAAGGAGAGAATCATATCTATTTCTAGTGACTCACGAATGGGAGCCCTCTCTTTCAAGAAAACCATGATGTTAGATCAAGAAAGGACCTGAGTTACACCTCTCTCACTGCAGAGCTCCGGGGGAAGTACCCAGAGTTGTTGCCAGGCCATGGTAGAGTTGGGACCAGACTCACTCTGTTTGGGGAAATTTGCTCCATCATTTAAACATAGTTGGCCAAGAAGACTCTAACATATTCCTCTGCTCTATAAAAGAATAACCACATCAGTGACTTTTATTGAGTGCTGCTGTTTAATAGTTATGCTTACCTGCAGGTCACCAGCCCCTGCTGGTTTTCTTACAGGAAGCAGGAAGCAAAGGAAAGGAAGACAACACCCACCTCTGCTGGCTTTAGCGATATGGTTGTGGAAATGTGCAGGGGCCCACCCTGACTCCTTAAAGCTTCTGAAAAGAGCTGAAAGAGGAAGGTTTTATCATAAAGACTGTGGCTCTAGCACTGGCATCCAGAGTTCTCCCTACAGTCAGCTGAATTAATTACATTTGTTCCACAGATAGTTACCGAGTCCTGGTGCATTCAGGCACCGTCCTTAAGTACAGGAGCCTCGGGATGGAATGAAACAGAATCTCCTTGCTCTCATGAAGTCTTTGGAGAAAAGGGGAAAGAATAAAGGGAACACAAGGAGAGCAGCAGCGCCGCTGTCTTATGCTGTATGTATTTTGTACGAGTGATCAGGAAAGGCCTCAGCAAGGATGCCATTTGAACACAGGTTGGAAGGAAGGGAGAGAGCAAACCATGTGGATGTTGGGAAGCAGGTTCTGGGCAGAGGGAATAGTATGTGCAAAGGGCCGGAGGCAGGAGCACGCCTGGTGTTTGATAACCAGCAAAGAGGCCAGTGTGGCTGCAGGAGGGCAAGCGAGGGAGAGAGCAGGTGGTAGAGATGGAGAGTGTGGGAAGCCAGCTCATGCCAGGCCATGGTGAGGACTTTGGCTTTTATTCCAAATGCGTGAGGAGTGTAGGAATGACAGGTCACATGAGCATGTGTGGATGTGGTACCAGGGACTGAACCCGGGGCCTTCGCACTGAGCTACACCCTCAGCCCTTTATTTCATTTCATTTTATTTTTGAGACAAAGTCTCCCTAAGTTGCCCAGGCCGGCCCAAACTTGTAGTCCTCCTGCCTCAGCCTCCCCGAGTGCTGGGATTGCAGGCGTGTGCCACCATATCTGACTCATGCCCATTCTTTTTTAGGGCCTCCTATTTGGAGTAGGAGAGAAGCAAATTCCAGAAGGAGCCCATACAATGATCTCAACCACACGTGAGGATGGCTTGGCTCAGGGTGTTGGGCGGAGGTGGTGAGAAATGGTCAGACTCTGGGTCTCTTTTGAACACAGAGCTCCCAAGTTTGGCTGAGCAGAGAAGGCTCAGGACCATCCCAAGGAGCATGGCCTGAGCCCTGGGGAGGAGAGAGCTACCACTGACGAAGTGGAGGTCAGCTGTGAGGAGAGGAGAGCCCCACTGAGCATGGTACAGGGGCGCCTGTAACAGACCGACGCAGAGATGCCACGGGTGACCGGATGCAGGAGACTAGAGCCTGTCTCAGGAGTCTGGATGCCCACTTGGTGTTTGCCGATGATCAGATGGCGCGACAGCCCCAGGCTGCTGGAGATCACAGAGGAAGTGAGTGTAGGTGAGGAGGAGGTGGAGATCGAGGGCTGGGAACTGGGGCATCCAGCTTTCAGAGATCAGGCTCATGGAAGGAGCCTGCAAAGGAGACTGAGTAACAAGCAGCAGGCGAAGCGGGAGGACAAAGGAGCCATGTGCGGGAGGCGCCCGTGTGTGCCGTATCTGTGTGGCTCTGAGAAGCAGCCCAGTGCAGCCGGCCGGGGAGTGGTGCTTAGGTTCTAGAAGGGCTGAGGTAAGGTGGGTTCTGCCTGAGCAGGAAGCGACTTGTACTCCTGTGTGCCAGGGCAGAGAGGCGGCTTGGGTTATTTTTAGGTTGGTCTGAGGATGATTCCTGGGAAGGTGATGGTTTTGGCTAATGAGCCCTTGCCTGCCGGAGAGAAGCATCCCTGAAATGTGCTTCCTTCAGCTCCAGCTCTCGAAGCCTCTGCCTGGCTCCTCCTGGGAATGATGCCAGCCCAAGATGGCTGGCTGGGTCTTCCTGCCAGGACTGTGTCCTGGAGCTGAGAGCAGGGCTGGCAGCTCCCCAGGGGGAGGAGAGGATTGTCGTTGTGGGGTGTGGGCTGGGGTTCCCGAAGGAAGGGCCCAGTGGCCACCCTGCTGATGCTTCCCCTCGGGGTCTCCTTGATGCTGTGGCTTAGGTAGGTAATGCCCTTTGTGTACTGATGATTTTCAAGTCTGTCCTGGGGTTTTGCTAGAAGATGGCAGCTGGTGCCGACTTTGGCACTTCCTGCAACTAACACAGTGCTTTGGTTCAGTTTAGTTCAATAAACTTATAAGGCACCATTGTGTACCCCTCACTGTGTAAAAACTGTTTCTGCCTTCAGCTTCCTCCCTGCTTGGTCCTCCACCCTTGTAGGAGACCTTGGCTCAGGACTCACATTCTCCTCTCCCCTCCCCCTTTCCTTCCCTTCCCCTGTCCCTCCCCTCCCCTCCCCCTGTCCCTCCCCTCCTCTCCTTGATGCTGTTTCTAGAGGGGAATAAACTCTAAGATCGGTCGGTTGCCATATAAAGCAGAACTATTATGCCCCCTCCGCCAACCTACTCCTCCTTCAGAATTCTTTCTCTCCGTGCCTAACACCGTGCCTCTCCCTGTCACCAAGCGTAGTAAATCAGTTGTCACCTCTTCCTCTCATAAGGCACTAAATCCTGCCAAGCTGCATCTCTGTGGTCGCCTGTTCTGGTTTAACCACTACTTTGGTTGAGCTCCTTGCTTGTACCTGTATTTATTCAGAACACTCTGCAGCATCTTTTTCTTCTAGTCGGTCCCTGGGTCAGTCCCTCTACCAAATGATCCAACAGCTCTTCCAGAAAAACCAATGGACCTCATCACCCTCCTGTGGGTGTCACTCTATACAGAATGAAACAGACCAAGCTTCTTCGAATGGCAAAGCACTATTAATGATTTAGGCTCCACCTAACAAAGCCCATCCTCCATGACATTTGTCCTCGCCTCCCTGCCCTTTCACAGCCCCATCACCCCAACACCCACGAGATCAACAATACCCATTCTCAAGACCCAGCCATAATTCCATCTAATCCAGGGAAAGGAATTAAAAGTTACTGAGAAAGGAAGCAAACAATTGTAGCCAATCGTGGGCTCTGGCACCATCTGGGTTTAATTCCTAGCTCTCTGCCATTCCCTAGTTGTGTGACATGGGTAAGTGACCACGCTGAGGTTCCCCATCTGTAAACTGGGAGATATATATACACACCACATAACATACACTATGGGAGTGTTTGCTGTTTTGTGCCAAATATGGTACTAACAATGTTTCATATATTATCTAATGTAATCCTCCCAAATACTCTGAGGGATATTATAATTATAATTTATTATTATTATTATCATTATTATTATTTCGGGCTTTTGAGACATGCTCTTGCTATGTAGTCCAGGCTGGCCTTGAACTGGCAGCAATCCTCCTGCCTCAGCCTCTCAAGTGCTGGGATTACAGGTGTGTGCCACCACACCTGGCTTTGAGGGATAGTATAGAAAGTTTATAGATGGCCTCCTACAATTCAAGTAATTCACTCAAGGGAACATACCTGGTAACCATGGAGAGTTGAGGTTCAAGCCCAGGTTTGTCTAGATCAATGCCTAAGTTCTCTTCCTAGACTAGAAACAGTCCTAGGAAGGAAACCAAGAGTACTGATCTAGTAAAGTGATTCTTAGAAGGAGTAGGCAAAGAACAATGTGTGCTGTGGGAAGACTAAGGGTATAGAATCATTAGGAAGTAATGCTAGGGTCTGAGCCGTGACAGGGAATGATGGGACAATGTGTAACTCCACAAACGATAGGAAACAAATGGTAGGAAACAAATGGTAGGAAATGTTACACATATAATCCCAAACGCATCTTAGAATTTGTTACTGGGAAAAAGTAAATGTGTTTCAAAACCAGTAAACTTGAGGTCAAAGGTGCTACATTTTAACTCCATGGGACCTGCCACAAAGTTGGGGACTTAAAGTGTTTAAGAGCTGCATGAAATATTGAAGTGCTATCTTTACTGGAAAAAAAAAAAAGTCAACCTAGAATTCTATAGCCTGTGAAGATACCATTCAAGGAAGTAAAGACTTTTTCAAACGAACAACCTCTGAGAGAATTCAGCAACAGCGAACTCATGTAAGAATTGTTAAAGAAGTTCTTCAGGCAGAAGAAAACTAACATAGAAATTTTGGGCCGGGCATGGTGGTGTACCCCTGTAATCCAAGCACTTGAAGGCTGAGGCAAGAGATCGCTGTGGATTCGAGGCCAGTGTGGGCTACATAGTTCAAGCCCACCCTGAAGTACATAGTGAGACCCTGCCTCCGAAAAAAAAAAAAGAACTTTTGAGCTACATAAATCCCTTGAAAGAATAGATATGTACTGTGTATAGATTGTTTCTAATTTTTAATCTCTCTCAATCTCTCTTTTTATATATATATAAATTTATATATAATTAAATACATATATTTAATATATATATTTAATATATATAGTGGGACCTTGGTTCATGAATGCTTTTGTTTTCAAACAATTTAGTTTACAAATAGAAGCATTTGGCAAAATTTTGTTTTTGTTTGTGAACTTTGCATCAGATGACAAACATGACTGCAGCCATCTTTCTTACATAAACACAAATGTGCCATCTTTTCCAGAATCATGGACCAAATTAACTTTGTGAACTGAGGCGTGTGTGTGTGTGTGTTTTGTTTTGTTTGAGACAAGGTCTTGCTGTGTAATCCAAGCTGGCCTCACCCTCCCAAGAGTTGGATTACAGGCGTGTGCCACTATACCCAGTGTAAGCGATGTATATTTAAACATCACAATAGTCCACTAAAATCAAATTAAAGAGGTACAGGTAATAAGCTAATAGTGAAGGAAAAATAGAATCACAAATGGGCTGGGGATTTAGCTCAGTGGTTCCGTTGCTTGCCTCACAAGCGCAAGGACCCAAGTTTGATCCCCAGTACCAAAAAAAAAAAAAAAAAATTAGAATCAGAAAAAAAAGAAAAAAGGAGGCAGAAAAATAGGGAAAAAAATGAAATCAGGTGGGAAATACAAACCACAAAAAGCAAATAATAGATTTTAACTCAACTCTATCAATACATTAAATGTAAATGGTCTAAATTTTGCAAATTAAAAATCAGACATTAGCTTGGCATTGTGGCACACACCTGTAATCCCAGTACTTGGGAGGCTGAGGCAGGAGGATTGCTGCGAGTTTGAGGCCAGCCTGAACTACATAGTGAGTTCAAGGCCAGCCTGAACCACATAGGGAGATCCTGTCTCAAAAAAAAATTGGACTTTGTGAGATTAGATTTTTTAAAGACCCAACTATATTCTGTCTGCAAGAAACCTGATTTACATACAAAGTCATAGACAGGCTGAAGGTTAAAGGATGAACAGACTTCTGGCCATAGCAGCATAAAGAGATCAGCAAATCCTCCTTATCAAAAACAAATATAAAAGCCAGGCATGTTGGCACATCCCTGGGAGGCTGAGGCAGGAGGATTGCAAGTTCAGGTCACATCTGGGCAACTTACTGAGATCCTGTCTCAAAATAAAAATATCTTTTAAAAAGATGGCTGGAATTGTAGCTCAGTGGTAGAGTGACCCTGGGTTTGATCCCCAGTACTATATAGATAGATATAAATATAAATTAAATGACCCCCCTGTATGCCAGGTCTTGAAATTAAAGGCAAGCAAAAAGGAGGGAGAGAGAGAGAGAGAGAGAGAGAGAGAGAGAGAGATTACTCTTGAAAAGTTGCTAGAATTTGGGGTATGAAATATTAAAGAAATTGGGTTTCTCAACCTCAGCACTTAGGATTGTGAGCTGCATAATTCTTGGAGGGGTGATGGGCTTTATAAAATGCTGGCAGCATCACTGGCCTGTACCCACTAGATGTCACCAGCAGTCCTCCAGCTGCAACAACCAAAAATGTCTCGACTTTTCCAAAAGTCCCCTGGGGGTTGGGAGGACAAAATAGGGAAAATAAACAATTATGAATTTGTATGCACCTAGCAAACAGCCCCCAAACACATTAAGAAAAACAAATTAGAAAACACAGAAATTAAAAATTCAGTTTAACAATTATATTTGATATTTTGATACTCTTCTCTCAGTAATGGATAAATAACAACTAGTCAGCAAATCTGTAGGCATACAGAGGACCTGAACACCACCAAACAACTTGACCTAACATGGACAACGTGTCCTCCAGCAATAGCTGGGTACACATTTTCTTTGTCAGATATATAGAGGGCGTCCTGCAGGACAGACATATGCTTGAGCATAAAAACAAGTCTCAATAAGCTTAAATGAATTGAAATAAAATGTACCATGTTCTCTAGCCACAAGGAAATTGAATTACAAGTCAATAAGAAGTTTGGAAAATCCCCAAATATCTGGAAATTAAACAGCATACTTCTAAATAGCCATGGGTCAAAGAAGAAAGCACAAAGGAAATTAGAAAATGTTTTGAACTGAATGAAAATGAAAACACCATACATAAACATGTGGGAAGCAGCTGGTTATGGGGAAATTTATAGTATTAGATAATTATATTAGAAGAAAAAAGGAGGTTTTGTTTTGTTTTGTTTTTGTAGCACTAAGGAAAGAACCCAGGGCCTTTGCACTGAGCTACATCCTCACCCTTTTTATTTTTATTTTTTACTTTGAGATAGGTCTTGTTAAGTCACTAAATTGCCCAGTGGGCCTAGGCTTTCAGTCCTCCTGTTTCAACCTCTCAGAGTGCTGGGATTATAGAACCACACTACCGTGCCTGGTTAAGAAAGCTCTTTGAATTAGTGGTCTAAGCTCCACCTTAATTAAATACAGTAAGGTAAAACTAAACCCAAAGAAAGTAGAAGGAAAAAAATGGACCACAAGTCAGAAATCAGTGGGGTAGCATACTAAGCAAAACAATAAAGAAAAACCAATGAAACCAAAAGCTTGTTCTTTGAAAAGATCAATAAAATTGATAAAGGCTGGGGATGTAGCTCAGTGGCGCTGCACCTGCCTGCCAAGCCCAAGGTCGTGAGTTTGGTCCCCAGTATGTAAATAAATAAATAAATAAATAAATAAATAAATAAATAAATAAGTAAAATCGATAAACCTCTAGCCAGACATTTTTAAAAAGACAGAAGCTGGGCATGGTGGAGCAGGCCTATAACCCCAGAACTTTGGGAGGTTGAAGCAGGAGGATCACAGATTCAAGCCCCACCTGGACAAGTTAACAATTTAGTAAGATCCTGTGTCAAAATTTTAAAACGCTAAAAGAAGGGCTGGAGATGTAGCTCAGTAGTAGAACAGAGCACTCTTGGGTTTGATTCCCAGTACCAAAAAAATAATTATTAAAAAGAGAAAGAAACATAAATTACCAACATCAGAAATAGAGAGATCACTAATCCTATATATAAGAAAGGGTGTCTGTTCCGACCCCTAACTTCATGCTAGGATCCTAGTCAGGAAATAAAGCACACACATGGGAAAGAAGGAAACAAAGCTTTCAA